AAATGATTAATTAGGATATACAGTGTTGAAATTAATTCACTCCGCGCCTTCGCGAGGCCTCCTCTTGTCTTGGCTGAGACTCGCCAGCTGAGACCCGCCGCTGCCGGTTAAGGCCTGTTCTCCTGGCGATCACACTTTTCTGGGGCATCTAACGCACCCATATCAATTGTGGTCGAGATTACAGAAGCAATATGTAAGTGGCGCCATTCAAATTACTCGAAATTAATATAGAATATCCAGTAATGAGGACATTTACTCTGATTTAGGTACAAGTGCACCAAATACTAGTTTACGTGAAGAATTTATTTAAGAAGTACCTATATTTGAGCAAAAGTACTCAGTTTTAGTTTGAATATAATCACAAATGAATAAAATGATCAAAATGTCCAATATTGAGTAAAAATTTAGCTACTCAATAATTTCCCTCAATGGAGTCACTCTAACCTTTATTGCTTTCACTCACACTGATTTTTTACAGTGTACTCTCTAGATTTTATTAATATAATCATAATTAAGATATCACTCAATTTTGGACATACAGTAGGTATATTTAAAGCCTTTAGCAAATTTCGATGGGGTATTTCAAGCTTTCATTCTGTTGCTCAAAATTTTGACACAGATTTTGACGAGCAACAAAACCGCACGTTTCTCAGTGTAGAGCTGTCACCGAGGGTATCACGTGTCTGTCCGGGCGTGATAAGGAATCCCCCGAGAACCTCGACGTTGTTGCTCCTGCATATTAAGGTCGAATTTACATTCAGAGGAGGGTGAGCGAGCTCCATCCTATTATCTATATCTAATTGATATTGGGGTGTGGATTTTTCTATGGAAAAGAATCGTTACGTGCTCAGCGGGAGAGGGCGAGTACCGGTTCGGATTAGCCGCGTTTACCCCAAATACTGACTTTTATGGATGTGTGAACTGTTAATTTCGAGCTATGTTGCGTAACAAATTTTGTAGAACAAAGGACTTTATTACAGTTAACACCTAATTAATTATACTTTATCTTGGTGATGTCTATGTAATTAATTAAAAAGAAAAAGACTACCATAATATTCCTTATGGGGAGATAAATAATGAAAGAATGAATATTAAACCACATTTTTTACTTAATATTTGTACAAAAATTATTCGTAAAAATATTTATGTTATTGTTAATAAACATAATATACATCTCTCTGACTTTGAAAACCACCGGGAAACAATTTTCAGCCATAATCTTCAAATTTTGATTGCTTTTTCGATTTTTGCATACGGCATATTGAATTTGCCATCTTTTATTCGGGAATTTGCGAACTAGCACTTCTAATTCGTAATAAGCGACCCCAAAAACTCGCGATAATAAACTTCAGGCATGTTTTTGTACTAACTTCAAAAAATACATAAAATATATGTACTCGTGTCTCTAGTACAGAGCTTTCTTTTTTGAGGGGCTTTGTCATTGGACGCAAATATACAGGGCAAACTTGCAACTGTTTCATGCTCTATCTTTCCCCAAATTATTATACACTTGCTGTGAATCACCATGGACATACTACCTATAAAATATAATTACGTATTTCCCCCATACTGACCTGAATACCATTTTATTTACTAATGCATTTATAATATTTTACACGTAATTATCTAGATTACCAAAAAATTATTGGTTATTTGTAACATCCGGAGGGCATTCAAAGTTGCACATGGCATTGACAATAGCCGGTATTAAACAAAGTGTAAAATAAAAAATTATGCCAATTATTAACGCATAGATCGTGTCGCACAATACGAATAATATGAATTATAAAAATATAATTTCAGGACACGACCGGCCAAAGATATAACATGTTAATAAATGTAATAAATTCAAGGTATATAGTCCAGTAAATGAACCTCTACTAGCATGAAAAAATCTAAATCAGGTAGGCTACTTTAAAATCGTCAACCTTGAGGAAAACGCGGGAAAATTTTGATATAGCTATATTTAAGTTCTTGTTGACAAAGCATAACGCAGCTTAGTTTTCATTGTGAGGCCAGCTTTAGTGAGAATCATTTTTTTATTACACAGAGTATCTCATAATGAATTGTACATAAAATAACAGGTGCTTTCTGACGTCATAATAATGTGACCTGGTTAAACTTATCTTAGTCCAAAAATTGATACCCTGTAATAAAAAATTCACTCAAATTAACTCAATTTTCCTCAGTAATGTATCAATTTCTATCCACACCCGATTGAGTGAAATTTTCACTCTATCGGTATGAGTACAACTAAAATTTTATGAGTAAAACTATTGAAACAGAAGTGATTGAATTTACTCAAATCTGAGTTTCAACTAACTATCAAATGAGTGACTTTTGACTATATTCTGAGTATATAAGACCAATATAATTTAAATTTAACTATTATGGAGTAATTGAGACAAAGACAATGAACGACAACCATAGAATCGGGTGGGAACGATTTAGCTACAAGTGCACCAAATACGAGTTTATCTGCAGAATTTATTTAAAGGGTATCTACCTATAGTTGAGTGAAAGCACTCGGTTTTACTTCAAATATTATCACAAATGAGTAAAATTATCTAAATGCTCAATATTGAGTGAAAATATACTTAATAATTTCACTCAACGATTTTTTTACAGTGAGTTACAGAATGTCAAAATCAACTTTGCAGAAATTCAATAGTAGTTTAGCATATACTGGTTTTGAAAGCGTTCTTAATTGTTATTATTTGCGAGATTACTTTGATAAAGTGCATCTAGTCTAATCACTTTTGAATCTTTAAATACAAATATCTTGAGGACGGTAATTCCTAGCGACGTTAAGATGACTGATGTATAAGTGATGGAAAAAAGATATTGATACATTGTGTAGAAAAAATTTTATGAACTATAAAAGTTCTAAGAGGAAATGTAAGTGACGCCCTCTAGAATGTATACCAAAATTATGAGGAAATTTGAATTTCTCATGTCAAGGAAGCTTGGGATACCAAATTTCGTTTAAATGCATGTAAGGTTATTTAAAAAAATTTAAAACAAAATTTTGATTTTGCCACGGTTACTATCAACTTTTGGACTAAGGTAATTTGGCCAGATCACATTATTATGGCGTCACAAATCATCTGTCACTCTATGTGTAATTCACTATGGGACACCCTCTACAAATTTTGCCATAAAAAATTTTTTTCTTAGTAGATTCAATCCCATTTGAAGAATAACACAGGTCAACAAGGGTCAAGAAGCAGACACAGAATTGCTCTATCACGTCAGGTTTTTGAGATATCCTAACCTAAAAGTGCAAAAAACACTGTAACGTCATATTTGAGGTTATGTAGTAATGCCATCTATTCTTTCTCAAAAAAATACATATAATTTAAAAGTACAAGGCTCCATCCTTCGAATGCCGTTGAGTTTGCTCAAATATCTTTTTTTTTCGTTGAGATATCAGTTTCTTAATATGCGAAAATCTACTAAGGATCCCTTAGACGTCAAACAGTTGATTGCAGTTCAGAAACTTCATACTCAGAAACCTTCAATATATACGAACTCAAACTCACAAACTCCAAATCCACAAACTCACCAACCCCAAACCCACAATCCCTAAACCCACAAACCCCAATCTCACAAAACCGGAACCTACAAACTCCACGCTTACAAACTCCAAGCCCACCAACTCCAAACCCATAAACCGTATGGGTATGAAGTTTCTGAAATTGTAATCGACTGCTTGATGTCTAAGGGATCTTTAGTAGATTTTCGCATATTAAGAAACTGAGAAACTTAAAAATTTCAACATGTGATATCTCAACAAAAAAAAAAGATATTTGAGCAAACTCAACGGCATTCGAAGGAAGGAGCCTTGTACTTTTATATTCAATGTATTAGTTTTTTGAAAAAGAATAGATGGCATTACTACATAACCTCAAATATGACGAAAAACAGTGTTTTTTGCACTTTTAGGTTAGGATATCGCAAAAACCTGACGTGATAGAGCAATTCCGCTTCCAGATTCGGATTCAGCGCACCTAAATCATTCGGAAATATATATTCAAGTTTCTGCTTCCAAAAAAATTTAAATTTTGTTGGTATGTGTAATAGTCGAAGTACCCTTATTATGTGAACCCTTTGTTATGTTCTTATTATAAAGTAGTACCTATAATTTAAGCCACTTTGCACGTTTTTTAAGAGAATCCATTCAAATATGGCATTCAACATATTTTTTTTATTATTGGAAGAATGTACCAATTATCTACTTTACAAAAAATTATATAGGGTCACGCTTTTTTGAGACAACAAATCTTTTAGTCCGAATCATTTTTTTGTTATTATAACACTGACATTTATTTTGAGAAATAGCAGCTTCTTTTTAATGCAGTGGGTTATTTTTTGTCTTTAAGTCACAATCAAAATATAACTTAAAGCATTGTTACAATTTTTATAACTTTGCAGCTCTTGCTTTCATAATATCTACAAATTAGTAGGTCGCTCTCTGCCAGTATATACAAAATTTACTATAATAAGATTTCCATTACTTTGTTTTATGTGTAGCTGCCGAAAAGAAAAAGAAAATTAATGCTGCATTTTTCGATTTATTATTGAAGATAAATGAAAATAAAAATATTCGTCATAGATTTATTTTTTAAAATTGGCAAGTGATTTTCTCGTTCTGTTACTACAAATATCTTTCCTACATTTGTATAAAAATGTTGTACTAAAGTTATTTAAATAATGAAATGCCATCCAAGTAAAAACCAAAAAACGAAGTAATCAAAACATTCCATTGTTGCATTAATACACATTTAATGTACCGGACTAGGATCCCGAGCACGCACAACTTTAATTCCGAACAAAACCATTTTTATCAAGCGACAATAGATTTTCCACAATACCGCATTGTCGATGATACAAAGAGATTTAAATCAGTGTTTATACAGCGTTAAACACAGGCAGCTTCCTTTCAATCCGGCCAGTCTGTTTTCGAAAGCACTCACGTCACCATCGATGATAATAAAACCATGACTGAAACTGAACATATTAAGCGACCAATGAACGCTTTCATGGTGTGGTCCAGGATAAGGAGGAAAAGGATATCCCACGATTATCCTCGTTTGCACAACTCGGAGATATCGAAGTTGTTGGGCGCTGAATGGAAGTTGTTGTCTGAAGGCGAGAAGCGGCCTTTTATAGACGAGGCGAAACGTCTTAGAAGTCAGCATATGCTGGAACATCCGGAATATAAGTACAGGCCAAGGAGGAGGCCTAAATTTGAGAGGGATGGCCAGAGGAGTTCAGGAAATGTGACAGGGTATAATGATACGATGCAGTTGGCGCTGAATAGGACCTTTTACGGGCAGAGTAATATGGGTGGTGAGTAAATAAAAATTTGCTTCCTGAAATTATTAAATAATGCAATCATTCAAATAAATATCCTGTATTCTTCGTGTTCTATTACCACCCTCGACAAAGACCAATCACACAAAAGCAGCTATTACAAAAATATTGTAATAATTCCTTGAGATATAGAAATTTTTTTTACCTTAATTTCTTATTCTGTTTAACTTCTTCTTCTGTGTATTTTACTTTCTTCTTTCATGCCTGCTGGGCGCCAGCTCACATAAGCATATAATGTACTTTAATTCAAATTTTTGTTCACTATGTTTAGAGAAATCTTTTGTTTGACGACAAATTAATTTAAGATATTATCAAATTTTAATCTAACATGCCTAGTCTCACCTCAGGGTAACGTACTGAGAAGATTAGTAAACTAATTTTAAAATATTATACTGATTAATGAATTTAGATATTAAATTTTGAGAAGGCAAAGACAAAAAAAATTATATTTGAATTTTAATCGACTAGTTATTCTATTTCTTGTAAAAAAAATTTCTAATTTATTTAATGATTCGAATTCACTATATTTCCAATTAAATAAAATAATGTGAACGGCTAACACTTCATTTTATTTTTTTTATTTTACTAACATCCAATCTTCGATCAATGAAATTTTCTTAAACTCTACCTACGCTACGTCCTACTCCAACTTAATTAAATAACAATATCCAATTATTTTTGGATTTCAATATTAAATCTAATACCAGTTTGTTTTATATTAAGGTTTTATACATTTCGATCACTGTCTAACACTCTTATTGCTTCTCTTGTTGGTCCTTTCTTTCCTCTAATCCTTTTCTGAACCGTCTAGTACAACTTCTGTCCTTGTCTTGTCATCTGTTAATTCCTTGCTATTTGTCTTCTTCCTAATATTTCTTTATTCCTGCTCCCTGGTCTATGGCTTTAATTAGGTGTGGGCGTACTCGATACTGGTTATTCCTTTATAACACTTAACTTGTTTCATTATTGGACTTACTTTGACTTCTCTTGGCCTTAATCTTCAATTTAGTTTTTGTGATTATGTTTTCTTCTATTCCTTTTATATATGGTTTTCATTACTAACTACACTCGTTCCTTTATGGTTATTAAATTATCTTTCTTTTTTTTAAATTCAAAATATAATTTCTACCACTTTTGCTGTCATTCTTATTTTATTATTTTTTTCCTAGTTACCTGCCTCTTTTCTCTTGATATCCCACTAATTTTTATAAATCACTTTCTAATTCTAGTAATCCAAATTTTAATTACCAATCACATTTTTTTAATTTCGAATATACTTTATTATATTATATTTCTTTTTTCTTTCCTTTCTCAATTTCCACCATTTGCTGTACTCCTATTGGTCACACTTATTCAACTTATAATTTTTTTCTTTAAAATCAATTTTGCTAATTTTATCTTCAAAAATTTCCCTTTCCCTTTAATATTTTACAAATCTTTGGCTCAACTCATTCTATTAGAATATATTCTTATTTCCTCATTTTATTAAGGATTCTTTAATCAGGTAGCGTTCCTACTCATGTGTTATTATAAGTATTATCAGAAAAAGAATATTATATACAGTGTGTTCTCGGATGGGGCACTGCAATCTTGTTTTTTTACTATTGGTTTTTCGAGCAAAAATTATTTTTGATAAAAAATTTTTTGTTTATCTTGGGAAGCCATGGGCAGTTATCAAATATGTAATAAAACATACAGGGCGTCCAAAAAATTTCAAAATGTGAAAATTCCCCTAAACAGAGTGTCTTTAATTTTTGTTTTCCTGTATTTAAGAAAGATATTCGATAACTCAAGAAATGTTTAAATACAGGGCTTAGTAAAAAATAACTATAATAAAATATATGTCTTTTAAAAGAAGTTGCTCCTAAAAATAAAATAATATTGCACTGCTGTCATTCAAAGTATCACAAATAGACTAAAACATATTTCTTAAAATAAATAAGTATTTATTCTTGAATGAAATTGCAAAGATTGACAAACTGACTATTTAGTCAATTTAGGCAACTGGTAAATTATAAATAAATGTACTATCATCATCCTTTTCTACTGTCAGGAACCATTGTGGATCTCCATGTTCTTAGATTTCCTCATCTAACTCTACCCCTCTAGTTGCACGAAGCAAGAGCTGTCACATATCGTTTGACGTAATTTTTTATTTGTCTATTTTAATAGGGCAAAGCCTCCTTCGTTATGGAAACAATAATCTTTATAACTACTCAGATATTTGGAATTAATAAAAAAATGAAATACTGCAGTTATCAAAAAAAATTTCAAAATAAAGCAATAATTATTTTTAAGGGCAAAATTGGTATAGTCTTACAATTTAATTTTGGTTTGGATTATGTCAATGTTACTTAGAGAACTAAGTAAAGGAGGATGTTCTAACTTCACTATTTTAGCAATAACTTGAAAACGAGAAAAGATATCGACGTCCGGTTTGAGTATTTGTTTTCCAAAATGAATGGTCTATCAAGTCATGAAAAAAAACCTATATCGTTGCATTTAATTTTTTTACTAAACAGAGACAATTACAAAACTTTTCTCATTAGCGTCGTCTACCGTTGTGCAGGAAAATAAGATTTTTATTCCACCATCATAAATATAAATTTTATTAATAGTTCTTTAAAATGAGCCATCGTTTATTGAAATCGATTAAGGCAATTAGAAGTTATGACAATTTAAAAATTTCAAGATAGCGTCCTTCGAACTGACGTTGCTATGGTAATAACAAAAAAAAAAAGTTCAAACGAAACCTGTGAAGGGTTTAACAGTGTATCTAAAAAATGTATTTTCAACTTATGTTATACAGGGTGTTTTTGAATGGAGTAGCATAAATCATACCAGTGAATCTACATTTCAAAAGAACACGATTTGCAAAAAATCGCCTTAGTAAAATGTTCACCCCTGAAGAGATATGGGCCATCAAAGTTTCCAAAAAAATTATGAAAATTGGCTGTAATTTGNCAGAAGAGTTAATTGTGACAACTGGCATGACAGCAGCACACTTAGTTTTTATTTGATTGATTGCAATCATACACGGTGTGAGGTGAATGGTAATACATTTTATTTTTTTATTAATAAACGAAAAGTTTTAAAGAAAAATTGCTAGAGAGGTAAAAGTTTCTAAAAGAGCCGATTTATCTAATGCGTATTTTTGGATATCGAGTTTTTACGAAATATAAAAGTTATGGCAAAAAATGGCTTGAGGGGTGGTTATTTCAACCCCTTTCGAGGGGTTAAAATTTTCAAAAAATAGTTGAAAACTTGCATCTGTATTAGTAAACAACCTGTAAAAAAATTGTTATTTGTACCTCATTCGGTTTTCAAATTACAGCCAATTTTCATAATTTTTTTGGAAACTTTGATGGCCCATATCTCTTCAGGGGTGAATTTTTTGCAGATCGTGTTCTTTTGAAATGTAGATTCACTGGTATCATTTATGCTACTCCATTCAAAAACACCCTGTATAAGCGAAATTTCAAAAAACCGACAATTTTCTGTAACACTATAGCAGTTGCGCCCCCTAGCGGTGAAGTTACAAACCCGAAAATATTTTAAATCAATTTCTTTTGGTCGTATTTGTTAATACATTTTTTACCCCACAATCGTAGCACGTCTAGTTTCCTATATACAGCCGCTCGATACCGTTAATGGATCACACTGTATAATGACGTATAATGACGGTGTATCTCTAAAAAACAATTAACATTGGTTTTGTTGTTTCAGAAACTATGCCTTTGGTACAATTTTCCCCTGTCCCACCGGAGCAAAAGAACAACATGGTAGCGAACCCTCCTCACCATTTGGCAATAGCTATACCAACATCAACAGACAGAATGTCCGTAGGCTACCATCTAGATACAATGCAAAAATTTGAACCATGTAGTTCAGAAGATGTAGGTGCCTCTGAAGCTAGAATAAATCACCAAGAGTTTGTTCAGAGTCTGCCACCATTACCGCCGTACACTTCTTTACCTGGGAGTCTTCATCATAGGGCACTGCTAAGGGCTGCTTCAATTTATGCGTACCATGATTTGGCGTCCAGTAGTACTCTTCCCATGTATTTTCCGCAGATATGATGTGAAGAATTGTCGGCATGTCATTATATTATGAACTGATAAGTATTTATTTAAATGATAATTAACTGAAATTAGTTTATGGAAGTTTAAAAATTTTCGTATACACTAATTTACATGGCAACTGGTAAAATTAGTTAAGTTTTTTTTTTTGAAATATGACTCTTTTATCTTTATCAATGATAATTCAGATAGTCATCACTGTCGCCGCTATGCAAGTATATTATTATTTTATATAGATAATGTTTCTAAGTTTTATGTTATTGTCTAAACTAGATGAAAACGATAGTATCTCATATAACAGTACTCTCCTACCTTATTTTTAAATTTTTAACAGTAGTTAGGAAAATGTATATAAAAACAATAATACAATTGTAAAAGGTATACTAGTATTTTTTTTAACAAAGGACGAAGAATTGAATAGATGGAATATAATAGTTCATAAAAAACATTCATACGTCTTTTTCCAATACCAATGACTAATAAAGTTACGGATGATATTGCATGTATACATATAATGTATATATACCGCTTTCGAAGTTCTTATCCTTAATGTAATATTGTAAAGTTAACCTGTCGCGGTTGAAACTACAACAACATAAAAATAAAGGCGCCAAAATAAATCAAATAAAACAAAAAATAACAACATTAAAAATAAAAATATAAAACAAAACAAAAAACATAATAATACTTACTTTTATAATTATAACAACACAACTACAGTATGAGTGTTCCATTAAATTAATATACCTGGTGGCCGCCGAGGTATCCGAGATAATTCGTATATGAATTATATGTTTAATTATTAGCAAAAATGATTCGAATCAGTTTTCCCGCATTCTCAATGATTCTTGAAATATCGGGTTTTGAGGTTACCAAATCGTATAGGTAGTTGTTAAAGAGTAAATTACATTGTTGCAACTAGAGGGCTAGGTAATTTAATAATTAGCAATTTGCCTGGGATTAGAAAAAAATTGTTGTCTGTCGTTAATTGGCATAATTGTAACCTTTTCGAGTCATATCTTCTTGAAAGAAAGCAATATGTTACGTATTTTGGACATAGTTCTCATATTTTTACAGCAACCGCGGGTGTCCCTCAAGGGTCCAAGGATTTTAATGTTGTTATTTTTTGTTTTATTTGATTTATTTTGGGCGCCTTTATTTTTATGTTGTTGTTGATATGAGACTCACTCAGCGTGTGGGTTCCTTTTTTATTTATTTTTGTCTGGATTAAAATTTTTGGATTGTTTTCTTACTCTAATTTTTCTTTAAATGAAAGATATGTTGTATGTTACAAATATCAATATATTACAATATGATTTTATGGGTTATAGGTTTTTACAATTGACAACTGTTATACTTCTTACACTAGATCAATAAAACAAGAAATTCCCCCCCTAAATTCTACTGTTACAGTGCATAATAGTGTTTTATACTGTAAGTAGTTAAATTGGTTGACAATGAAATTGTGCATTAATTATACATAAATGCAGTGAAATTTTGATGTAAAAATTTTTATAGCGCTTTATTTTCAAATTTGCAAATTTGTTTAACTAATTGTGTCGACACTTACGAACGTAGAATTATTCTGGTTATTTAATTTGCATGTAAGCGCGCTGCACTGTAATTCCACCAGCATGTAATCGCGCTGGTCTGGAATCTCCTCGTTGAAAACGCCGTCACGCCACGAAGATATCCGAAGTTTCCTTGGATGTTTTTACTGGAATTCTCACAGATGAAAACTGCACCGCGCTATTTTTTTAATCGGGATTCACTTATCACTTTCTATTTATTTTTGTTAACCTTGTTCAAATTTATTGTTTCACAATTACTTATGTTGATGTTGCTCAATGAATTTTCGAACTTATGAAACTGTGAATTTCGGATTTTTGACAGCTCTAACTGTCCGTGACATTTCTCCACCTAGATGGCTTGATAAGTATGACTTTTTCACTAACTTGTTGATTTTTATTGACTGTAATTGTTTATTCTAGGAGCAAACTAGCGATGTTACTGATACAGGTAAACATGGAAGACTGGCTACCTCGAGCCCGAAGATTAGTTTTTATAAACGTGAAAAAACAAGTGAATGTTTCTATGACAATAATAACAAGCATTTTTGAAATTTTATTTATGCAAATATTGACTTTTGGACTGAATTATGATGTATGAAATTTACATTTTCAGCTTCCTTGAATTTTTTTGCATCTTTTGACACCAATTGCACGTTTCTAGGTTAACTTTAGAGTCATGTCAAAATTTTACTTATTTTTACAAATTTCAACTAAATTTTAATAAATAGCTTAATTCTCAGCATGTCTGTTCATTCAATGTTTTTAGTACAACCTTTTTAACATCTTTTATACAGTCTTTTTAAATGTAAACGAAAGAAAAGTTCTAGGTGCTCCGGTCCATCAAGTATTAATAAAGTCTACACAACAATTTGAACTTTGGTTGGAGTCTAAATACAGTCTACTACACTTATACAATTAAAAATTTACAAATTCTAACGGAACAACAAATGTCAACATAAAAGTTTTCACAGATGCTTAGGTTTAATTCCACACATACATTCTGGTCACATGTATACTATGCTTTGTTTATATACCAGGTTTATTGCATGAATCAGTATTATATGTGAAAAACCTTCATCATCCGTCGATAACTTTTCAAAATTCTATTATATTTTTAAATGTGCTCATGCCAGAACTTTTAATTGACATTTAATATTGTAATATGGTTCTTTACTGTTCTTTATAACATAATTGTGCTACATGAGTGCATTTAAATAATTTTATGAATATGAAAATTCAATTTTTGTCATAATTTTGCCAGTGGAGACGTTTTATCGTGAAAATTTATTAATTACATCATTTTAACTTATACTATTGATAAAATATCCTTCATTTAAGTTCACTACAGTCATCCACACTCTGTTTGTGTCTATCGATTAAGTTTTCAAATTTAATAAAACATAAGAGTTTATTAGCGTAATTTTATTCGGAGTACATCTGTATTATAAGTAACTACATTCTTATACTAACAAATTTTGATTTAAAAATGTGTGTTGCAAGTATTTGCAATAGTCGACACAAATATTGGAAATTTCTTAATACTCCTCTGATGATGTCAACTGCGATATGTCCGAAACAACAGCTTTCATGTTTTTGTTCGTTTTTTATAACACCGCGATGTAATTCCACACAACATTTCCTTAAAGGATAATGCGTCATTTTACGCCAACAATAAAACTTTCCCAAGTTTAATATAGTAATGAAAAGCCATTATGTTTTATTATACTCAATTGTACGCCGCCTTAAACAAACAGGGCGTTAAATATCTGATCAAGAGGTCCGTCCGAGGACTGATTAAATCGGGATATGATAAATTTATGTTCCGTTTTTATGGCGGGATAATACACTTCTGTAATTAAGACATTGCGTCTCCTCGGCGTTTTTCTTTGATTCCGAACCGAGAAAGCATACGGTTTTATACGTCGGGGAGCGGTATAAATAACGTCGCGTGAAATAAACGGTGACTTTATAGCTTTAAAAAGTACGGAGTTAGTCTTAATTAATTTGAGCGGTGCGTGTTCACTTCTCATTCAGGAGGATGAATAAATTTAAATGTTTGAAGTACATTTTAGGCCGCTGTGAATATAAATGGAGCTCTTAAAATATAAATCAGTGCTAACCATGTTCTACAACTGCAACATGATAAATCGCGAGGCAGACGATTTATGTATGGCTACGGCTAGATCACAGTACAGAGTGTCCCCCAGGAAACTGAATTTTTGATTTATTACTTATAAATAATATACAGGATGTCACGTTTATACTTAAAAACACTGGGGATGAGTTTCTTTTGAAAAAATAGTAGTTTTTGTAACATTTTTCTGATTAACGTTGCGTTATCGAGATACATTATGTTGAAGTTGTTACTTTGAAAAGGGTTATCCCTTATTATTATTATTTTTATATCGGATAAAGATAAAAATACCGAAATTTGTATACCAATAAATATGAATTGTCTTAAGAAACATGTGTCAATTGTTTCATTCGCAATAGCAGTGGCCTCTTAGATACGGGTAGTTTGAGGAATATAATTGTAGAAAGAATATGTTAGAAGTCAAAATTTCTTAAACATCCTTAGAGCTTTGCAAACTCCAACGAATGTTTCAAAGTAAGTATATTAGTTGATCGCATAATACTTGATCATATACTAGTTAATCGTGAGCTAGTTGATCGTATACTAGTTGATCAGATACTAGTTGATTGTACACTAGTTGATCGTATTCAGGTTGATCGTATACTAGTTCATCGTATCCTAGTTGATTGTATTCGTATACGAGTTGATAGTGCATTAACTGATAATATACTAGTTGATCGTATACTATTTGATCGTATACTAGTTGATCAGATACTAGTTGATCGTACACTAGTTGATCGTATATTAGTTGATCGTATACTAGTTCATTGTATCCCAGTTGATTGTATACTAGTTCACGTATACGAGTTGATAGCGCCCTAGCTGATCATATACTAGTTAATCGTATACTAGTTGATCGTATACTAGTTGATCAAATACTAGTTGATCGTACACTAGTTGATTGTATACTAGTTAATCGTATACTAGTTGATCGTATACTAGTTGATCGTATACAAGTTCATCGTATACGAGTTGATAGTAAACTAGCTGATCATGTACTAGTTGATCGTATACTAGTTCATCGTAAACAAGTTGATCTAAAAAATATACTAGTTGATAAAAAGTATACTAGCTGATCGAAAAAAGTATACTATTTGATAGATAGGATGTACATTTTTCGAGAAAAACGAAGGTGGAGCGCGTTGTTTAGGTACATAAAACGGTAAAAGCAAATGTAAAAATATTAACATGAAAAAGTATATGATAATGTTAATGGTTTCATTGCAATTTGGCATATATGCATAAGTTTTAATTATCACTAGATATTAAACAATGAAACAGTAAATAATTTTATA